GCGCGAAGCGGACGACGGAGAAGATGGAAAGTGACACGAGGAGAGGAAGTGGATATCTCTCTCTCGTATGCTTCGAATTTAGCATCGGAAACCACCTTGTTGTTAGAATTGCCATTCGCTCTTTATTCGAGCGACTTGCGAGGCTTTCTTTTTTTCTTTCCTCCTTTTTCCTCTCATCGCCATCGTTCTTCTTTACTTCTCCGAGTGTCTCGGTACTTTAATCGTTATCGAGAAAAAACGCGTCGACTTTTCCTACCCTTCGTCAACTTTTCGTACCCTTCGTCGACCGGGTTCACCCTCGAAACGCGGATACGTCGATTCCAAGGGAAGATTCGCGCGAAGAGGACGACGGAGAAAACGGAAAGTGACACGAGGAGAGGAAGTGGATATCTCTCTCGTATGCTTCGAGTTTAGCATCGGAAAACACCGGAAACCTCGTACCACCTTGTCGTTAGAATTGCCATTCGGTCTTGCGCCCGCGCCCTCGTAGGCACCCTCAGGGGGTAAAGAGTCCCTCTCGATCTTTCCGCTTTTACCGTAACTCACCCCGAACTCCCCCTTCCTGGTGGGAGCGAAACGCACGCGCGGAACACACGCGAGCATACACTCCCCCACCTTCCCATAAATTCTTCACCCCGCGGAAGATATTTACGCGGAGAATCGGCTTATGTCTTTGAACGAGATCCGAAAGTGCCAATATTCCCAAAGCCAGTCGTATATCCGGATGCGTATGCTCGCGTCTTCCCGGAAGCGGAATGCACGAACGCAATGCGTCTCGCAAAACGTCCCCCTGGTATTTAAACCCATGACATATAAATAAAACTAAATTTCACGCATTAGAAAAATACTATTCAATTTGACCGGAGGCAGTTCTCGACCTTAAGGTAGGTCCTGGAACTCGGGAAACTTCACTTTTTATACAAAAATGTTGAGATCATCTATAAACAAATTTTCATAAAATTGAAATTTCATGGTCGTCAGGACCTTCTTTATAGCCTCTAAATTCACGTTGTAAAGCTTGAAATGAATCGGTACACCGAATATGTAAAAAAGTTTAATAAATGAGACCTCCTTGACGTCACTTCGACATCCCCTTAATTCTCATCGCGATTCATCCAACCCCAGTAAAACTGGAATCGCATCGAGTCCAACGGCGGTTTTTTCTTCTCCCTCGAATTTACATGCGACGCTCGGCCACGGCGTCCGATAAAAATGTCGTCCACGTGCAGCCGAGCCGCCGCGGGGGAAGTGCCCCCCGGGGGGCCGCCGGTGCGGATTCGGTCGGGGGCGAATATTGGCGCGACTCGGGGTAGCCCGTGCCAGAAAGTCTAGGGAGATCTCCATTATTTAAGACGTTGAGATACGTACTTTTCAATTCCGGCCGTCCATGGAGTCAACTCCGTGCAAATAATTTACGATAAAAAAAAAATGGATAAGGATCGAAATCGAATTTCCTCCGGGTGAACATTTACCCACTCTCGCCGTCTAATCGCGGTACAATTGCGGTATGGGCTTTCAATTGAGACGATTGCGCCTGGTGTAAGAGGATTCCCTTTTCACGGGAGTCCCCGCCCCCGCGATTAAGGTGAAATGAAACTCCCTTCAAATCAATTCGAATACAACACTTTTTTTAAGGGTGTTGGACCAAACTCTCCGAAACCTTGACACATCACTCCTGATCATCTAAGAATTATCCTGACATTGAAATTTCGGATTTTTTTACAAAATTTTAAACCGCGTAATCGATAAACTCGTATTTGAACGGGATAACGGCAAAAAAAGTGTTGTATGCGCTTCTATGCCGAAACGATGGGAATACGAGGTCTCGGAGTGAAAATTTAATTGACCTGGAAATCACAGATGGCGCAGGGGGTCCCTCTGCAGTCAATTAGGGCCCCAGAAATCCTGAATCCAGAGGATTTCTGGAGTTTAACTTCGATTTCTTAATAATTATTATGCCATTTGGTGCAATACCCAATATAATTCGACCCAGCTGCCAGCATAAAAGCGAACGTCAGCAACGTAGGCATTTAGAAAAATCTTCTTTACCCACGTCGATCAAGTTCCTCGAGGTGTTTCACTTCACCTTAAGATGTAGGGCAGGGCGGTCAGGTTCTAAAGCGGGGTGCGGAAAAGTCCCCGCGAGGGAAGTGCCCCCAGGAGGCCGCTAGCGGCGGGTTCGGTCCGGGCGAATATTGGCGCGATTCGGAGTGGCCGGTGCCAGGGAAACTTCAAGGATCTCCGTTATTTAAGGCGGTGAGATACGTATTTTGGGGGCTCCGCGGATGGGGCGCCCCCTTTCGCCGCCGTCCCCTTCCCTCGCGCGGCCCCGAGATTCCATTCGCCATAAAGTGGAAACTGGAAAGTTCCGCTGGCCGGGCTGAAGTCCGCGGGCGCGGGGATATTACGAAAGTCTATTACCCTCCTTCGCGTCGGTGAAGTCGTCTCCCGCGATCTCCTCCGCCGCGGCGCCGGCTGCGTCTCGGTCTCCCTCTCGCTCCCGCTCACGCGGCCATCTATCCGTCCCCGTCGCCGCCTCGCTTCCGCCCTATCGTCGTCCCCATCTCCGCGTCGTCCGGGCTTAGGGTAGCGTCGCAACTCCCGCGATATTCGCCGCTTGACCTCGAAAATCCGACTGACCTCGGCTTTCCGCGCGGTCCTCCATTTCCCGGACCGTTTTTCCCGCTTTCGGCCTTTTTCCTACGGACTCCTCCCGCGAGCGGCTTAGCGCGTTCTCGGATTTTACCGAGAATTCCGCGACCGGGGAGGAAATCGCTCCGTAAAAGTCGTCCTCGGACACGTCCCGGTGATCGGCCGCCTAATAAGCCGGATACAGGGAATCCTCCCTTATTATGTGCCGATAACCCTCGGACGATATTCCCAGGCGATAAAAGAAAAACACCGGTCCCTTAGATTTTAGTCCTCCATAACATATTTAAAAGTGAACAAAATCGGAGGGGGACACCTCAGGTACCTTCCTTGTTATAAGGCTGGCTCGGGGGTTCGGAACCGCGAGCCCCGGTTAAGAATGACTCTAAGAAGTCAATCAGCCTCCCCCCCAACTTGATAAGGCTCCGTGGGATTTTAATCCCCCCTCACCCCCCGCGCCACAAAGGGGGCGGCGGCGCCCCCTTTGAGGCTCGCCCTGGTGGGATTCGCCGCGGGCTCCCGATCCTCCTCCGCGCCTTCTTATTCCTCCAGCTCGGTCTTATTAAACCCCTTCCCCGGTGGAACGACCCTCCGTCCGAAGTTGGAGAAATTTTCGATGTCGCCCGGACCCGGGGAGATCGCATCGCCATGTAAATCCGACTTAACCGCCCGGCGGGCTGCCCCGGATAGAGGGAACGGGGCAGCTTCTCCGTCGGATAATCCGGCAGAAAATTCCCCCAGACGTCGGGCACCGCGCCGGATGTCGGGAGAAGTTGTTAGGGAACGATTAGCGTCCCCACGGCCACCCGGCGTCGCGGATTCCGCCGCCTGGATCGGACGCTCCCTTCTCGGACCTTCCGCCAGGGAGGGACGATTTTCATTTTTCCGCCCGGGTATTCGGAAGCGTCTCTCGGCACTTCCGACCTAGCCCCGGAGAAAGGGCGATCGCCTTTGTCAGGGTGGAATATCGATAGATTCCATTACGGCGGGCGTTCTCGATGAGAAACTGGAAATTAGGTTGGCGCAACAACGTGACTAGCCTCGTCGTTCAGCCCGGGTCTGATTTGAAGCTTTCCCCGGGACGTGACCCATCTATGAAGGTCCTCTGGAGTGCATCGGGGAACGATCCCCTGTACCCATTGTTCTCCGCCATTAAATTAACACTACCTCGCGCAAAACCTCTAACCACCCTCGACGAGGCTCCTCGAAAAGTGATTTGCCGTCGAATTAAGGTGACGCGAAAGGGCCGTCGAAGAGGTTTTGTTTATAAAACTTTTCTCCCAACTCGGTTTACCGAATAGTTCGAAACTTTACAACGTGAACAGGGAGACTATAAGGAAGATCCTGAAATTCATGAAATTTCAATTCTTTTCAAATTTGTTTAAAGATATTTTAAAAATAATTTATAAAAAATGAAATTTCATGAGTTTCAGGACCTTCCTTATAGTCTCCACATTCGCGTTCTAAAGTATGAAACTATTCGGTACACGCAGTTTGGAGAAAAGTTTNTTTAAAAATAATTTATAAAAAATGAAATTTCCCGAGTTTCAGAACCTACCTTAGGGTCTCCGTTTTAAAGTATGAAACGATTTGAGACGCCCAGTTCTATGGAAAGTTTTATGAACGATTGAGCTTTCGGATGCCACTTTCACATCCCCTGAACGAGGGACTATGTATTTCTTTTGTCAGTCAATATCGGGTAAAAATGATAACAGGACCCGCGTCGGTCGATCGCAATCGAAGGAATTATTATTCCCTTAAAATTCTCAGAGGGAGAGAGAGAGAGAAAAAGAGAGTCGACTCCACGACCAGTCCTTTACCCCTCGAAAAACCCTTCGCGATACATCGCGACACTTCGCGCAACAGGTGCAACCCTTGGGCCGCTCGCCGGCGGAAAAACCGCCCCTTTGCCAGGGCGGTCCTTTCGAGCCCCTCGCGGAGGGTCGAAAAAAAATCCCCGCCTCACCCTCTCCGGGGAGGATCCGAGGTAAGGATCGGCCCCATCCCCGGCGCGATCCTCCGCTCCGACGAGCGGCTCAATTATAAGCCGTAAAACTCCGGATCCGGCTTTTCCTCTCGCGTTTACACTCGCGAGCCTGTTTGTTCCTCGACGAGGTCTTCCCGGCGCGGTAAGCCCTGGAGGATCGTAAAGTCGGATCACCGGAAGACGACCCGCCCTCCATCCGTCGCGGGAACGGCGAAGGGAACCGTTTCCATTACCGCCTCCCCTTTCCGTTCCTTCGATCGGAGTCCCTTCGGCCGAGGGACCGGAAGTAGAGAGACAGTCGCGTCTCCACCAAAAGGAACTGACGACTCGTCTGATAGTTCCCCGGTTTGATTGGCTTTTGCAGCGAACGCGAAGCCGCTGACCTTCGACGAGGTCTACAACCAGAGCAGTCCCACCAACTGCACGGTCTACTGCGGGGGTCTGACCAACGGCCTGACGGAGGAGCTCATGCAGAAGACCTTCTCGCCCTTCGGCTCCATCCAGGAGATCCGAGTCTTCAAGGACAAGGGATACGCCTTCGTCAGGTGAAGGCGCCGATCAGCTGTTCGATCAGCCGGGCCCCGTCGCGAGCGATTCGGCGACTTCGATCGACCGCCACCCCCCGGGTGGACGAGACTCGCCCTTTCGACTATCTTCCGTCTAATTGCTCCGGTCCGTTCCTCCGGAAACGAACGTCCGCCCAGGGGATGACGAACGGTTCCTCCCCGAGGAAGCGGGGCCCCTTTCTTCCGTCCAGCGGAGAGAAAGAGACCTTATCGGCGCCTTATCGGTCGCTCGGATCCCGCCTCGCCTATCCGGTGGGGCGCTATCGAGACCGGCCGGGACCGGAGATCCGAAATCAGCGAGAATTCCGGAGCATCGCCGACGCTCGTAAATCCTCGGCGGATTCGTCGGCCGCGTTCGACGCGACGGCCCGGCTTTCCTGCCCAGCGAGCCCTGCGAATTAATAGACCGTGGCCCCCCCGTCGGGATTCGAAGGAGAGAATTCCCGCCACCTCGCTTAGACGCCCTATTCCCACCTCCTAGGGATGACCGACCCCTTTATCGTTCCTCTAGCCTTCCTCGCATCTCTCATCGATCGCGATCCATTTCGCGCCCTTCGTCTCGCGGAAATCGGCTCGCCCCCGAGAAAACGGATCGGGGATCGACAGCGTTGCGGATCGCACTCGTAATTTCGTTCCCTCTGGCAATTACTCGTTACAGTTGTCCCTGCTTGGAGGTAGAAACGCGGCTGCGCCGGTTGCACGCCACTGTAATTTAGCTTAATTAGGCCCCCCGTTTATAATTCACGATCGCGGCGGGCTATTATTCGTTGATTAAATTCTGCGCTCGATCAGCGCGGTCTCTTTTGCGAGGAGAGCTTCGAACGGTCGCCATTTTCCTGGAGCGATGTAAAATCAGGGACCCCCCCGGGATCGATATCTCCAAAAGGTCCCCACCCCCGCGTCCCCTGGAAACTCCCGCCGGGGAGAGATTTTCATTTTTCCTCCACGGGTAGAAAAATCATGGGCCGGTAATTTCGATGACCGCGCCCCATCTCGGGGATGGTTTTCCTATATTCTCGAAATGACGGATGGGGGAGGGCGAGAAACCGCTTATTATCTCCGGGGGCTTAAAAGCCAAGAAAAGCGATAGGGTCGCTCGCCGGTGGGGGTCTTTAACGAGCGACGAGGAAAGAAGATCGAGATCCTTCGACTCCCCCCGGAGTAACGAGCTTTCCCTTTTCTTTTTTCCTCCCTCTGTTTTCCTGTGTTTTTTTTCTTTTTCTTCCTTTTTTTTTTTTTCTTCCCTTCTTTTACAGCCTACCCGGGAAAGTGGCTACCTCGGCCGACGGTATAAACATTTTATTAACTCTTAACCCGGGATGCGGGAGCGTGTGCAGTCGAGATTATCTTTATAATGCCGCTAAAAACGACGTGTTTATGTCCGTAGCCGAGGTACGTAACCCACCGGCCAGGGCGAGCCGCCCCCGGGGGTGGCTCTTGGGAAAATGCCAAACGCCATGCCTCGACTCCCCGTAATCGAGGGGTCCGATAAACCCTCGAGGGGCACCTCGCGAACCGCCTCGCGGGTGGAGGCCGGTCCTACCCAGGAATCGAAAGGCCGCGGACTTCCCGTCGGCAGCGTTTCGATTCCTGGACCGACGCAAAGAGGCCCCCTCGCGAGGAATAATTTATCGCGGGAAATGAAATCTCCTCGTCCCGGATAGCGAAACCCTCCCTCGGGGTGGAACGGACCTCGGATCGGCTCCCTAACTCGAGTCCGCATTGCGAGAGAAATATCTCTCGGCCGACCCGGTCCCCCGGGACTCCGGTCGCTCTCTCTCCCGCGAAGGACCTCGTCGCCGGTTATTTATCCCCCCGGAGGCGCAGGGACCGACGATAAGCAGCGCAGCGGACGAGTTGCCCTCGATTATCGAGCTCGTCCGACCGCGCGACAAACTCGTATAAATCAGGTGGCACGAGGTCGCAGGGGCGCGCCCGATAACGAGGTCAGGGACGTACCGAGATCCTCCGGAGGTAATTCCTCGACGATTAACGAACCCGCAACCCCGGGTTCCAGGTTCTCCACCAAGGAGTCGGCCACGCACGCCATCGTGGCCGTCCACAACACCGACATCAACGGGCAGACCGTCAAGTGTAGCTGGGGGAAGGAGAGCGGCGATCCCAACAACGCGCAGCAGACCGGCCAGGTGAGAGAGAACCCCCCCGAAGAAATCCAGGAGTCTAGATCCCTCTATCCCAGGAGCCCTTTCGCCACATGGGCGAATTTCCTCCGTCCGTGCAGGCAAGATTGGACCAAACGTCGGACGCCTCTATGCGCCTCCGGTAGCCAAAGGGCGAATCCTCTCCCAGAAGTTCCCGAAGTCTTCGAGCGCTACTCCCGAGTTCCTTTCGATTTCCAGGCCCTCTCGTCGGCGACGTACCCGTACTACGCGGCTGCGGCCGCGGCCGCGGCGGCGGCGGCGGGCGTCGCGGGCGTCGGGGGCGTCGGGGGCGTCGGGGGCGCCGGTCAGCTAGGGTACTGGTATCCGCCCCAGTCGTACCCCACGACGGCGACGCAGATGCAGGCCGGCGGGTTCCTCCAGGGGATGCAGGGCTACACGTACGGACAGTTCGCCGGGTACCAGCAGGCTCAGTACATGGGGTAAGTGCACCGCGAATCCTCGGTACCCCGTTCCGATGAAACGAAACGCGTCCGATTTCCGCAGGATGGGCATGGGAGTGCACGCGGCCGGCACCGCCGCCGGCTGGGGACAAGGCTTGCCCGGGGGGCCGCAACTGCCCCCGCATCACGCCACGACGGTCTCGGCGCCCCCGGGGGTGCAGGCCGCCCCCCCGCCACCCCCGCCGCCCGCGCAGATGATGGCCTACCCCATGCAGCAGTTCCAGGTAAACCTCGATCTCTTTTCCGCACGCACCTCGACGTCTAGCTGCCCGGTAGCTGCTCGGTAGCTCTTCGACCGTCGTTCCGCGTGGCGGTCAAAAACCGCTCCTCCTCGCCGATGCGGCTTACGCTCCGGCCGACGCGGCTCGAACGCGGGAAACCCTGCCGAATTTCCATCTTCCGCGCATTTCCTTGCACGGAATCCACTTCCGGCGATTAAGGTGAAGTGAAACCCCCCTCAAATCGATCGATCCGAGTAAGACACTTTTTTTTAAGACAATTGAACCGAACCCTCTGAAACTTTGACAGATAACTCGTGAGTACCTAGGAATTATACTGACACTGTCAAAATTTGGATTTTTCAATGAAATTATTTAACTTAACTCAGACCAAAATCAAAATGACGCAGGGGATCCCTCTGCAGTGAATTACAGCCTCGGAAATAATGAATCCAGAGGATTTCTGGAGTTTTCTTTATAATCAACTTCACTTCGATTTCTTTATAATCAATGTACGAAGACGACAGATGGAGTATGCCATTTGGTGCAATACCCAATATAATTCGACGCAGCTGACAATATAAAAACGAACGACGAGAAACATAGGTATTTAGAAAGATCTTCTTTACCGACGTCGATCAATTTCCTCGACGTGTTTCACTTCACCTTAAACGCGACCGCATCACCGCAGCCCATTGCTATCCGTGCACGTCGTATCGCATGATTACCGCTTGGTTATCACCGGTTATCGCTTGAAACCCCCTATTTGCGTTTGGTAATCTCGTCGGTCGGCTTGTTTCCTTTTTACCTTTCCTAGCGTCGATTACTCGAAAAAGCGGTATCACGGCCTCGAGCCCGGGCGATACCGCGAGAGGTCAGACTGTAAATAAAAAGAGGCAGCCCATTTGTAAGCGGCCGAGCCCGACAAAAGCGAGAAAGGGAGAGTGCCCCGCTAGGAAACTGCCCCGGGTGAACGAGGGAGAGAAAAGAACGAACGAGTCCTATGTACAAAGGGGGAAAGGGAGAAACCAGGAGAAAGAAGGAGAAAGCTGCCGCATTTTTACGGCGCAAAGGAGCGACGCGCGATTTCTTCGGCTCCTCGCTCCGAAATGTACTCGCGATTCCTCGGATCGTTGACGTACGGGATACGACGATTTTTCCTAGGATCAATGGATAAAGTTGAAACGTTATAATCACCCTGTAGGAATTTCATCCGCGTCCTTTCTCGGGATACGTTTATTCGCGCTTTTAATATGACATGAAAGCGACGCGCGATTTCTTCGGCTCCTCGCTCCGAGATGTACAATGGCGGACATGAATGCCTCCCCTGCGGATACGGCATCGCCTGTGCAGGATGGGATGGCATCGATGTCTCTCAGTGTGCTCGCAATTCCTCGGATCGTCAATTATATTTAGAAATGAGGAAAATCAGAGGAAACACCTCAGGTGCCGTCCTTGTTAGAGACCGCGCCAAACCTCTCCACGGGTCTTTTCCGATTTTTCTTTCATTCTCGAATCAGGAAGTCGCGGATGCCGCTTTCTCGAAGGAATCTACAAGAGACCGACGATGCACATCCTACCCTTGCACGCACCCCAAGTAAACGTAACGCGTTATGTCGAAGTAGCGATGGAATCGGTGCACGTCAGATTGGGAGTAAATGTGGGATCATATAGATATTCTCATCCACGATCCGACGGACGGGTCTGGCAACTTCGGTGAGGGGATCGACTCCGCCACCGAGGCGACTCCGGGGGTCAGCTCCCCTCCTCGGTCGTCCTCGAAAAGGACTCTCGAACGATCGTCCTCCCTGGCCGAGTCGATCGCCGCCACCTAAATACGAGTTCCTAGGCCCGTACCAAAGACCGTGTCCTCATCGTTGACAATTCGGACGGCTGACTTAACCAGCGTTTGTGTGTTCAAATGGTAAAGTGTGTTCTTGGTTGCGGTCCAGCTAGCGGATGAGGACTGGCTGACGCCTAGCCTTCTAGTGTGATGGTAAGCAAGCACACCCCACCGACATCAACCGACACCGGCTCCGTCGACATCGCCACCACCTCCGCCAGGGTCGCCACCGTCGCCGGCGATGCCCCCGAGTCGGCAACGACGCGACCGACTTGACCGGCGAGCCCGACAAAACCGAAAAAACCGAGATCGATAGGAGGCCCCCATTCGATCGAGACCCGACCCCCGGGGGGGATCCCCCCCGCGATCCGGCCCCCCGAGCGGATACTCGAAATCTTCGAATTCGACCCGCTCGATGCACTTCCTATGCCAAAATCAACCATCAAAGCTTGCCTTAGAGGAGAGCAAATCCGCGAGGGAGGTACCGAGACTCTCGGGACACTTTCCCAAGTGAGCGCGATCGATCGTGCGACTCTCCCCCGGAGGGCGATCTCGAGCGAATCGTTCGCCACTTCCGGCGACGGGGAGGGATCTTCGAAGGGGGGCGATAATTCCAGAGGGGCTTGACGATATCAGGGGTCGGGGGAAGGAAACCGAAGATCCGGAACCGAACAGGGGGACGAAAGTAGAGCACCTCGCGGTGCGATCAGCCTCGCTAAAGGAGAGACACGAAACGAGAGAGAGAGAGAAAAAAAACAAAAGAGAGAAAGGGAGCGCAAAAATCAAATTTTCTATCGACGTCCGGAAAAAAGGGGGTCCCGGGTTCCCTTCCCAGCACCCAGGAGAGCACGCGATTCGCACTCGGCACCCTCCGACATTTTTACGAGAGCGTCGACGCCGAGCGTCCCCGGCGGCCATCCAGGCCCTCGGTCGGCACTCGAGTCTCCGCGACTTTTTAACCAAAGACTAGATTTTTTACAAGCGCGCTCCTCAGGGGAAGGGGGGCGAAAATCGAGGCTCGAGCGCACCCCCGGTAGCTCCTTCGTTAAGCTTTTTAGAATCCCGAGGTGCTCGAGGGGGAGGTCCCGGTCGCGGGAAAGGGTCGAAAGGAGAGACTCCCTTCGCCGCTCCCTTTGATTTTAGGGCCAAGCAACTATTCCCAAATTACCGGGGGAGCGTAATTACCGATGGGGCTAACCCGGAGATACTTAAAGAAAAATCCCACACCTAGAGGATATCCCTATCTAAAGGCATCCCCGCGTTATTTATCGGTGTAAGGAAGCCTCTACGGGGCTCACTTCCCGGCTCGAATATATTTGTCCCGGAAATGGTTTTTCTCGGGATTCGTGGCGGATGCTCTTCCGACGATAGGAAGGGGTTATGAATTATGGGAGGAAAAGGGGAAAAGAGAGACGTCAATGGGGCCGTTCAGGGAGGGGGGAATCGAGGGTGAGGAGTTCGACGCTCGAGTAGATGGAACGAGAGGGCCGATTCTCTAAAACGGATCCTCGCATAGAGCCGTCTCTCTCCTTTCTTTATCGCGATCGGTTTCCGTCCCTCCTTTCCTCCCTGGTTCTATCTGCACACCGGCCCCTTCTCCTCATACGCCACCCCGATGTCGAAGCGTTTTGATTCCGCTTTGAAAGTGGAGCATCCGCGCACTTGTCCCTCAAAAATGAAACTCTCATCCGCGAGGATATATCGACGGATCGGGGGGNTATACATAACGCATAAACATATGTACGTAATAAGAGGGACATAAAAGTACGTGGTTCAATCCATCCGTCGAGACCGCGGCAATTAAGGCTAATTAAGATTAAGGGGCTAGGGAGGGAGACGTCCGCGCCCGGAGAAAGAAGTATCGGGACGTTTGTTTTTTTTTTTTCTTTCTTTCCTTCTTTCTTTCCTTCCTTCGTTTCCTTTTTAATCCAGTCACTAGAGTAGGGAATTAACGAGACCTGCGATCGGCTCGCCGAATGGGCAGGGGCCGTTCGAGGTCCGCGGAACTAAATCAAAAGAGGGCGCCCACTTGGTCGATCGGGCGAGACAAAAGGGGCCCCTCGTGGAGGCGAATCAAAAATCGAGTCGTGTAATTAATTAATCGATCAATCGGTGAGGTCGGAGAGGAATCGAGCGCGAGGTAGAGGCGGGGAAGGGACGCTCTCCTGGGACCCTTGTTCGTAGGCTGAGGGCGAGGTCGAGTCTCCTCGGGGAAAAATTCCCCCCGGAAAATTCGGGACTGCCGAAAAAGAAAAAAAAAAGTCATTCCAAACGATGGATCCGGATCGATGTCGCCGGTCACGACGACTGATCATCGGCTGTGTGAACCTGGAATCCAGTTTGAGGCACAAACGAAATTAACAGGCTTATTGGAATGTTCCCGTGATGGCTCTTTTTTTTTTTAACTCTTTGGCTCCTAAGAGCGCCTAAAGGCGACCGACGTTTGGTCGAATATTGCCCGCACGGTCAGACGAATTTCGCCCATATGTCGAAATGGCTCCGTGTTCAAAGGGTCAACAGCTCCGGTTTTCGTAAAAAGAAATGGCAGAAACAAAACTCAACATGGCAGAAACATGTACATGAAAAAAACATTCAAACAAGCCTGTTAATTTTGTTTGTGCCTCAAGCTGGATTCCAGGTCCACACACATCCCTGATCATCGGCATAAATTACCGAGATCGAGGAGCTCGGCCCTCCACCCTGAGACTAAAGTCGGGAGGGGGCCCGCGAGGCGGCAGAATAAGAGAGGAGGGGGAGGAAATGGAAAAAAAAAGAATTATAAATATATATATATAAATATACATATGCATATAATGATACATATACATACGTATATAGTTGCAGTCGGAAATTAGCGCTAACCCGTACGCGAGGTACGAGGGCATCGCTGAGCGTGCCACGGGGGGCGAATAAGCCAAAGCGAGAAGAAGGAAGAGCGAGAGGGAGAGAAAGAGAGAGAGAGGGCCGACGAGGCCCGCTCCGAACCCGAGAGCGAGACAAAACGTGTACATTATTAGTTAGGAGAAAGAAATCTATGAAATGTAGGTAATTCTCGAAGGGCGAGGGCACCCGGCCCAGGAGGCGGAGTGGGAGGGCTCCGTCCGGCCTCCACCTGTACCCTCGATATGTAAAAAAAAATATGTTCGGAAGCCTTGTCAAACGTGGGTGCGGACCGCAACGCGGTTAGATCGCTCGATTCGGGGGGTCGACCGTGTAGGCATCGAGGGGGCGCGATTAGGCTTAAAGTTAAACATAAGTAGGCAATTGATCGGCGTAGGACCGGCCGAAGAGGGGGACAAAGCGCGACACCCCGCGATCGCGACCGAGAGGGGGACAAGGGAGAGAGAGAGGGAGAAGATAAAGGGGGAGGAACGGAGAGGAAAACAAATTACGGGAGATTTAATGGTAAGATGATTCGAGCGAGCCAATTATCGTAAGACCCGCGAGGACGCGGTAGCGGGCGCGATACCCGACGACGCTACACGCCTCTATAGGCTTAGTCTAGTCTATTCTAGCCTATCGGTCGCACTATCGGTCACTAGGATTATTACGGAGGAAAGGGCGAGAGGTAGTCCAATTTAATATATCCGCAGAACGCATCACGGCACCGTCACACCCACGCAAACACACACACACGCGCGCGCACGTATACAAACGCGATACCGTGGCTGCTGGCTTCCGAGGTCCCGCCCGCTTTCCGATGGATCCGACGAATCCCGCCGGGCGGAGCGGTTGCGCGGAATCCCGGACGAGATCGCCCCAGTTCTTTTTTTACGCGTTTATTCCCTCCCCCGCAGCCCTCTTTCGCTTCAATTAGTCACGCCGAGCGCCTCCTAGGGCTCCGCGGTCGAGCCAGGACCCCACGGGCCGATCTCGAGGGCGGATTAACGACCGAGGCGTACGCGCGTCTCCTCCGCCGCGGAGCGCGAATCCCTCTCGTACTTTCCGCTCGATTTGGCCGGTACTCGGTACCGAGGTCGCTACAGGTGGGACCGGGATCGGAGAGTCCGGACGAAATCGGCCCCGACGCGCGGAAACCGCGAGTCCTCGTAATCTCCCCGCAACCGCGCATATCGAAACCGCTCGCCGGAATTTTCTTCTCCTTCCTTTCGCTCCCCTTTCCCGAGACTCGTCCAGGGATTCCGCAACGTCGAGGACGTTCCCCCGGCCTCGTGGCTTTTGAAGCTTCGTTAAGCTGGCACGGATCTTTCGCCTTATCGAATGACGGCCCTCCCGCTTCCCGCGAGACTCGTCCTTATCCGCGGCCCCGTTTTCCGCACCGACGCCGGATCGTCGGCGGATCTTCCGTCAGCGGGACCTCGAGAGGCGGTCGAGGCCGACGCGGCTTTTCCGTGTGACAGCTGACAATCAAAAGAAACATACCCTAAACGGTGGCCCCATGCCCCGGAGGGTTCCTCCGGGTGGCGCATCCTCCGAGCCAATCAACGAGCCAGGAAATGCCGCGCGCAAATCGGAGAGGCCATACCCTGCGGGGAAGACGCGCCGGTTCTCGGGACCTCTCCTATTTGCGCGGCGAGCAGACCCGTCGGACCGTCGACGGTCTCTCTCGAGGAACCCGACGAACCGCGCCTCCGGCTCGTCTCCGAGGGAAAAGCCGACGGACGCGGTCGCGACGGAGATACCCCGGGGTCCGGCGCGGTCCCGGACGCGGCCGACCGGGAGCTCAGCAGCCGGGGTGGTTATACACACCGATACAGAGCACCGCAAGAAATACTTAGAGTTAGCGCAAGGAAATAATGGGACAAAAAAAAAAAAAATCATGATATCCCGCGAGGGATCTTAGGCGACGTAAGCGTAGCGTGTACCGCGTACAACGGCAGATATTTATATACGAGTATACATAGGTTAGCGCGCACCTCGACGCGCGGTACTCTCTGCGGGGGATCCGCAGCGAGCGGGCCGTCGAGAGTGGCCCGGCGGCGCCGCGAGTCTCCGCGGCCGCGTCCAGAGGAACCGGCGCGCGGACGCGTGTATACCGTGTACGCGCGTACACGAGGTAACTTTCTATAGTAAGGGAAGAGAGATAAGAGGAATAAGAGACAAAAAAATAAATAAATAAAAATAAAAATAAGGAAGAAAGAGGAAACGAAAAGAAAATAAACTAGCGTACATCTCGATTAGGATTTAAAGGAACGAGAAAAGTCGCGAGGCGGCCGTCGCGAGTCTCCGAAGCGCACCCGCGGCGCGTAACACTGTGTTAAATAAATTTAACGAGATCCAATTAACGAGCCGTAGTCCTTAAGGCGAGGTCGTGGCTGGCCTACAGGACCCCCTGAGCCCCGAGGAAGGATAAGGACCGCGAGATCGCCGAGAGGAAGAGGAAGAAGAGGACGCGAGCGGAAGGGGAAAGCTCCCGAGGAGAGCACGCGAGAGACGGGCCGAGGTTTCACGGGCTCGCGGCCGTTAAGGCGCGTCCCGCTTCCGGATCCTCCTCCGTCTCGACGCGGATTAACCGTCGAAATAACGCCGACCCTGGATATCCGAGATTAAAGGGCGAACTCGAAGGTCCCGGGCTCCTTGCCGTGGGACCGAGGACGTCGCGAGCGAATTCCGGACGATCGAGTCGACTCCTCGTTTGCCCGGGTTACCCGGACGCGGTCGAGGGCGAGCCGAATCTCCGCACCGTCTTGGCGTACGCGATCGCCGGCACTCATTTTTCCAGACTCCCCAGGAACTCCCGAATTCGAACGCGTCCGATTGATCAGCTGATTTCATAATTAACGCTTCCTGAAAGTCAAGGATATCTGCCTTGTAGTCGTTCATGTTATCTAACCCCCTCCTCGATCGGTCCGATGATTATCGATTTACTCGTATCCCGGATTTCGAGGGAAACGGCGACCCGGTGACCCGGTGACTCCTCTCGACCCGGGCCGGAGTAAGACGGTCCTTTGGCCGCCCCGTTCAATTTCGACCACCTATGAATATTTATCCGGGATCCTCGACGGTTAACGGCCCCCAGGATTGCGCGTTCCCTCCGTTCCTGGAGAATCCACCGATTAGCGCCCTCGAGACGGCGATCGCGCGAACGGAGTCCGAACTCCAGATCGTCGTCCCCCCCGCGGTTCGCCGCCCTCGATTCCGCGTTATGGAGGAAAAGAAAGAAACAAAACGTGTCGGACAAAAGTGACTTCCTCCCGTCGAGGGTCAAACCGGAAGCCCGAAATCTAATCCGGACGACGAACGGCGAGTCGACGGATCGATCTTTCGGTCGCTGTCACTCGCTCAAACTTTCCTCGGCCGACGTCCCTGGAATTCGCCCCGACGCGCGCCCCGGTCCTTGGGGATCCCCGGGACTCCGAGGCCGTAACGTGGCATATCACTGACGATAGCGCGCCAAGGAGTTAGGTGCCTTTTTCCAGGTGGACGTTTCCTTTTCCGGGAGAGGCCGCGTCGGTGAGTCCTCGTACTCGAGGTCCGCGAGGAAGCGAGACTCTCGCGAGTCATCTCCATCTACGACCGATTGCGAAACCGACGTTCCCGACGTATCACCGACTCCTCGCGGTGGACGTTGGTTTTCCTACCTTACTTTGGTACGCGTATGTCCAAGACAAACGGACCGGGAAAGATCGCGAGGGGCCTTTTCGCTCGTAAATCGTTTTTATCGATTTCCTTTCTCGAGAACCGATGATTTTTCATTTAACGCGACTAATGGTATTGAGATTCGGTAACAAGGGACGTC